TGCTGAACCCTTCATCCTCTACCCATATAAGAGTTAAGAACTTTAGCCCATTGCCTGCTTAAACATGAGTGTTGGAAAGGACTAGAGTCAACTACCAACTGCAGGATATTCCAATTTACATTATTGTAGGACACATTATCAGGAGGTTTGAGTGAAATAATCATGATCATCCTTATTTTGCAGATGAGGAAATTAAAGCATAGAGTCATTACTTAAAATGTTGAGTCAAAGTAAAGACTCAACCCAAACAGGCCAGCAGAGAGTCTAGATTCTTAACCACTGTGCCGCCATGCCTCTCCTTTGCTCTGAAATCTTAGAATCAAGGTATTTCCGTATGACATGCCAATAAATTATTTCAGAGATAGTCAGTAGAAATACTGAATATATAAAAATGTCAGACAATATTATAAGGAACAGAAAAATTATAATTGTTATTAGCTTAGTAGGAGATGAGGGAGAATGAACAATATCATTGATGTTAAGAGAAATTCTGTACTTATTGAGATTATAAATCACCTAATGACTATCAATCTAAGGATGAAAATGGAAGAATTTGATGCAATTACCTATGTGAAATCATGGTTGACTCATGGGATCATTTAGCTAGTGACAGCTCTACTCAAAAGATTAAACCAATTTCCACAAAGCAACAATTATTTAGACATTGTAAGCACGACTTAATCATCTGTACTGTAACGTATCATTTGGTAAGTTGATGTGTAATACCATGTAGTTTAGTTTATTTAGGAAATAAAAGGCAATATCTAATATTTTAATTTAAATATTAATGTACATGGCTCTACCATTTTGTTAAGTATCATCCTTACTAGAAAGCAGGTAAAAAACTGAAGGAACTAAGGCACAGAAAAACTTATGGAAAATCAATATTATGGAAAAAAACTGAGTAACTATCTCTAATCTATGTGATTTGAGATATAAAGCATCCTTCTATTCAAAATTCTTTATAGATCTAATATAAATCTATGCTACTACTGCTTAAACATATTTTGAGCATAGTAGTCATAAATTTATGTTGAATGGAATTCTCAACCTAATTTCTTTGACAATTAAATTAAGTAGTTACCATTTGGTGAGGGAGGAGGATCATCAATTGTCTTCATGAATTTTTTTTAAAAATGCCATTACTACAGAATCACTGTTGTTCTCTAATCCTCATTTCCCAAGTACTTTAATTTTTCACACTACTCTCTCTTTTTTTAAATTTTTCTTTTTGTATCTTTTTAAAAATTTTTATTATCATAATCTTGTTTATATTACATTGAATCACACTTTACAGTGTATTACATTTCTTTTTCCAGAAGGAATGCCATTCACACTATTCTCTTGATCATTTTTCATATCCTTTAAACTATGGAACTGACATTAGACTTTTGATCCTTACACTGTAAACGTGAGTGTTGATACTTGCTCTTACGATAGTGAAGCAAGGCTTCTAACACCATAACATCTTTTTATTGCTCATCAATAAATTCTGAATTATTCATCTATTATTTCAAGTACTGGATAAGGAAATGGCTATTACTTAAGGGTGCTAAATTATTGGTGATATATTATTTCAAGACCTAAGTTCTATATTGTTAGCAGAAATACATAACACAATTGCTCATTTATTTTCAGTCTGTTTAATTAAAAATGTTACTTATAGAGCACTTGAAAGGATTGTAGAAATTTTAACCTAACCCATTTAGCTTATGACTAAGGAAACTGAAGTCCAGAAATATCCAACTTAGAGGAGTTCAACAAATATTTGTTTAAAAATGTTCACGTATCCGGCATTATAGAATGGAGTAGAACACTGACCAATGACCCCTGCTCTAGAGACTTTATCAACCTTGGAGAAAAGTAGAAGAGCTGTAACTTGAACTCAGGTGAAACTAGTCTTCAAGTGAATGTATTTTTATGTACATGAAGTAAATGACCTAAAGTCTCCTACTCTCAAATGAGGCATAGCTGATCGTATGTTTTTCTATGGTTTAGATAATGGTTTGTCTTCCGAAAGTTCCTGTTGGAAACTTGGTCTCCAGTGAGATGGCGAGATCTTTGAGGGTGGGGCCTAATTGAAGAACACCATCCAATTACCTGGGAGTATGAGAGGGATGAACAGGAAGTGGAAAAGTCTGTTTCCTCTTCCTTTCCCTCTCTCTCTCAACCATGTCTTTACATAGCACCAGATACTGCTCAAATGCTAGATCTCTACTCTTGAACTTTCCAGCCACCAGAATCAGAAACCAAATAAACCTCTATTACAAATCATCCAGTCTCAGGTATTTCTGTTTAGCAAGATAATAATAAACTAATATATGCTTTATCTTTGAAATGCTCTTTTAGACCAACTGTTGTTTTGGGAAAAACAAGTTTCTTTTAAAGTGTATTCAGTTAGCAGATACTCATGGACCACCTACTCTGTACCCTGGCACAATGAATCTGGAACAAATTCCATAAGTGGCCTCCCAAAGCTTACACTAAAGAGGGAGACAAGGCTAGATAAGCTGTCATACGTATAAATAATTATGGCATACAAAATGTACTGAAGAGGCAGAACAAAGTGCTTTAATAAAGAAAAAATTGACTACTTATTCTAAAGCAGCTATTAAAAAAAACAAACCTCTCAGTAATGGACTGATGTTTTATCCCCCACTACAAAACTACATGTTGAAATTCAAACCCCCAATGTGATGGTATTGGGAGATGGGCCTTTGGGAGGTAATTGAGTCATGAAGGTAGAGCCCTCACAAATGAGATCAGTGTCCTTAGAAAAGGGAATCCAAAGAGTTCTCCTGTCTTCTTTACTCCATGTGAGGATAGAATAAGAACATGGTAGTCTGCAACCCGGAAAAGGGTCCTCACAGAAGCAGATCGTGTTGGTACCCTGATCTCAGACCTCATGGCCTCCAGGGATGGAGGAAATGAATTTGTATTGTTTATGAGCCACCCAGTCTAAAGTATTTTGTTACAAAGCCTGAGTTGACCAAGATAATCTCTAAAGGGATGATATTTCAACTGATGTCTAAATATAAGAAACAGCTGGTCATACAGAGACTTTTAATACAGTAATGAAGTACACAAATATTCACAGATGGGAATATTTTGGTATGTCCTTCACAAAATAAAAGAAAGTTCACGTGGCAGCTAGATGTGACTGGAGAGGTAGGCAGGGGCCAGGTTATGCAGATCTTTATGCCAAGACAATGGTTTTGGTTTTCTTCTAAATGCTATGGAAACCCCTTGAGAACTTTAAGCTGGAAAAATGACATAATCTAATACTGCTTTTTAAAGTTCTCTTCTGAATCATGGGTGTATTAAATAGGAAAACTGAGGAATCATGGAGATGCCAGTACAGTATCAAAGGTGAGAGATCATGGAACCTTAGTCCAAGGTGCTGACAATCAAAACAAAGATAAATGGATGAATTTTAAATACATTTTATGAAAAAAATTGACAGGAGTGGTTGATATATTAAATGTGGGATTACATAAGAAAGTGAATCAATATGACCCCCCAGTTTTCCTGATGGAGTTAGATCAATAGTCATCTCATTTTTTTAAAATTTTTCTATAGGGGGCATGCACTCACGAGAGAGAGAGAGAGAGAGAGAGAGAGAGAAAGCACCCCTACCGCACCCTTCCGGGGATGGTGGGAGAAGGCCACTCTGCAATCCCTTTTTCTCCATTTTCTTCTTGAGATTTTGAGAATGCATGAACACCCACCTGGCATGTTTCATAAGCCTCCAGGTCCAGGACTTGAACTGCATGATCAGCCATGTGGAACCTAGCTGCCTTAACCACCATGCCACCAGCTGGCCAGGGTCTCACTTTTTGAAGTATAAAAGAATTTTTTTTAATGGTTTTTGTGGTGACAAGAATAAAGAATATGGTTTTGGATACACTGTGTTTAGGTAACTATGATATATCCAATGGGCATGTTTCAAATGGAACTCTTAAGAAGAATAGACTAGAAATGTAAAGTTAAGAGTTACCAGTCCACATGTGATGTTTTTAGACCCTGAAATCAGATGAGCTCTTCTGACAAGAGAGGGCAGAGATAAGAGCATAAACAATTACTAAGTCCAGAGGATATATGGAGGTCAAGGGAAGAAATGAATGAAAGAGTAAAAAGGGCATTTAATAAAGTAAGAAAAAATTAGAAAAGAGCAATGTTAGAAGAGAGAACATTTCAAGAAAAATGGAATATCTAATATTTTGAATATTTTTGAGGGACTCAATAACAAAAGAACAAAAAAAAAGCTAATGGATTTGGCATGAGGAAGGTCATTTGAACCACTGAAAAAGCTATTTCAGTAAACAGAGTAGAAATTAGATCAGAACATGTTAAAATGACTAGACAGTGACATACTGAAAATAATCTATGCAGAGGACATTTTCTGGAAACTTGCAATGAACAAAAGAGCAGCAGTTAAGACACAGTTGCTAGTTAAGGAGTGTTTTTGTTTGTTTTCTTAAGATGGAAACTATTTGAGCATGTTTATCTTGATGTTTGGAATAATCTAAAAGATGGGTATGAAAATGCAGAAGAGGAAGGAATATCAAGTCCTTGCTTTAAAAAAAAAAAAAAGTGTCCAAAACCTTTATAGAGGGTCTGCCTTCAGAGAAAAGAGGCACTTACACCTAATGAAAAGCAAAATCTTGCATTACAAAAATTGCACATACAGTTACATATCTATCTACTCACTTGTCCATCTTGCAACAGAGAGGTATTCAAGAACAAAGAGTTAAAGGTATGAATCCCCCAGTTGCAGATTCATAAACTCCACCCTAAGAGCACAAAACTATCCCTTCTATTTTCCTAAATCCAACACTTCATCGTCTGAGATATCACTGGGTTATTTTTCTGGCCAATGCTATCATGTATTCTGGGGTATCATGGAGGCACTACAACCTACCATTTTTCTCACATGTTCCTCACCAATAACCTTCCTATTACTCCAGCATGGATAAACATAGGGGGAGAGGACAACTGATGGGGCAAATCTTTTTTTTCCCTCTCCACAACCTCTCTTAGTCCTCACCTTATTCTTTTCCATGTTTTTTCTCAATCCACTTGTAACAGTCAGTAACAGTGAGATTATTTCTCTTCACAGTCTTTTTAAATAACTGTCTAAAATGTTCGTGAACCCTCTGTACTCAGATATCTTCTACTCCTACTCTACAAATCATCTATTTTCATAGCTTTAATTATGTTCTATATATGCAGACAGCTCATTAATGTCCCACCTCTAGCCCAATATCCCTCACAAGCTCCAAGCTCATATACCCACTTAGCTTTCTATTAGACAGCTACAATTGGAGAGGGGGGTACAAAGACACTTCAAACTTGACAATTCTACAAGTAAACTTCATCGCCCCCCCCCCAATCCTATTCTCAAACCAACTCATTTACTGACATCTAATCAGTTTTCCAGGACAGAAGTTTGGTTTATTTTGGCTTCCATTTCTTCATGTTCAAAATCCAAGCAATTACTACCATCTGTCCATTTCCTTTCCTTCAAGCTCATTACCAACAATGCTATTCTTAGTGCAGTTCACCATTATTTCTTGCCCCAATTATGAGCAAATCTTCTTAAATTGTCTCCATGCCTCCAATATTACTACTCCTAAGTCAGAATAATATATTCTGCTTCAAATGGTTTGATACTCCCCTCCCAACCACCCTGGATGTGAAACACTCAACTTACAGCATGGCTTACAATGACTTCAGGTCTTACTCTCATTTATGTTCTCTCTCACTTGCACTTATGTGCATGTTCTTTCTTTCTAAAAAGTTCTCATTTACCTCCTCTCTCCCTACACTGTTAATTCAGAAAACTTCTAAAGGACTCAGTTTAGTTGCCACCTCTTCCAAGAAGCTCCTTCTCTGACCACTTTTCTCTCTCTCCCATTCATGACTACGCAGAGCTAGTTTGAAGAGAACGGCAGCTGGGAAGGTTTCCAAGGGGTAAATTTGTGAGTGGAACTGAAACTCATCTCACTGGGAATGTAAATGAGGTGGAGAAAGGATACTTACCCAAAATTATATTTAGCCGACTTTCTCTTGAGGAGAGTACCATAGAAGATAGATATATTTGGGAAGTGATGGGAGACAGCAGGGCAGGCTATACTATTACACATTCTAAGGGTGATGGGTTCTGCTAATTGTAGGCTTTTGTTTGACTAATTGGGGAGTGCACTTGTGGGCATGAGCTAGGCTGCCCAGAATAATACAGGAGGGCTAAGAACTCGCTTGCCTTCTCTAGCTTTCCCCACACTGGACATAGTGTGCCCTCTAAATAAAATTGAACACACGAATATGTCAAGCGTCACCTCCTGCCTACCACTGCTTACCACTAAAACAGCCATGACTGCTCTCCATTCCAACTTCCCATATACCTGTTTATCTTCATAACTAGACTGTAAGGTCAGAGGCTGAGTATGAGTGTAACTTTACCCTTGGGCTGGTTTATTTATCTTCTCAACAAATGAAAACACTGAGCGTTAGAGAGATTAGGTGAGATGCCCAAGATCACACAGAATCAAGCCTAGTTTTAAAGGCAGTAAGTGTGAGACTCGAGTGTTCACATGAATAGTCAGTAACTATGCAGTCCTCTGAGTAGCATAAACCCACCCAAGATTTAAAAAATGGAATTAAAATTGGCCAAAAGACAATAAAAAGCTACTTCTTTTTGACCCCTTCAATTCCATCACCACCCCTT